GTTGGTGCTTAATGACCCCTTAGATGACCCATATTCTCCTCGTTGTGCCACAAGGGATATCAGTATAATCTAAAGTGCCACACCAACGTAGCTACTGCTTCAACTGTATCGGTCTACGCCATACAGTTCCCTCACAGTTTATTGCTACTTACCTAAAGGGTATCCCCCAGATCCGGGTTAGGATCTATAGTAACTTCGATACAAGCCCACAAATATAAAGCATACAAAGCAAACAATTGAAAACACAATGATCTAATCCTAAGGTACACCCCACTTCTTAATATCCCCAGCAGAGTCGCCAGTTCTGTGATACGGTGGGAGAGAACTGACTGTTTTTCGGAATTCTGGTTCGCGTTTTGCGTTTTGTTTTTGCAAAATGTCGCGGTATGCAAGAGTCGCCACCGTCTTTTATTTTATCCAACAAGGAAAGGAAAAAAGCACAGAAAAATTCCTTTTTCGAGATGTTTCTCGGGTCCGGGGGGTAGATTATAGAAAGGGAAGGTGTTAGCACCCTTTCTATCTGTGGTTATCCACGGGCTCTTAGGTACTTGCTCAAAGTGTTTTCAAAAATTTGCTTTCTTTGTGTTTGTGGATTTGAAAAGAGTTTTTGTTTTGAAAGGTGTAAGTGTGAAAAAGTTTTGTTTTGGAAAGAGCAAGTATCTAAGAACCATTTACCTACTCGAAAAAAGAATCAATCTGTGATAATGTCCTTTAGACAATGATATCCCACTATTGATGAGTAGGTAGCACTGTCGTTGGAGTTTTAAGGGTCAATTAGATTAAGGGACGTGCGGTCACTAAAGCAATGTTAGGACGCCTTAGCGGTAACCCTAATGTCTTAGATCATTTTTCCGAGGCAACCGTTTCGAGGCAACTATGATCTTTGGACAAGAGGGCGACCTCTAAAATTTCCTATACTTAATGACCGCGTACGAAGGCAACCAAGTGAGGTGTACCCTAAGAGTGCGCATGTGCGAGTGTGTTGTTTTCAGTTAATTTTTCTTTGTACATGTTAATGGTTATCTATGTTGATTTTAGGTTTAAATATTCGATCTTGTCATGCATTCCCTATTATCAAACATCTAACAGTTAATAAGTTGCGGAAATTAAATTGCGGAAATTAAACAAACTATTACAAGGCGTCGGGTATTTACATCGCCAAAAGCAACCCTTGAAATTAAAATGCGGAAAGATAAATAAAGCGATAAAAATATTTAAAGTCCTATTAAACTATTACATTCCAGAAAACAGATACAATATTGAAATAAAATGGAACGCGTGCGGGAAATTAAATCGGGCGCAAGTTTAGGGTTTTGACCCTTTGATTATTAAAGAAAGATTTTTTTGGTTATTTTGAATTAAAAAGAAATTAGATCTAAGTTAATTATTAAATTAATAAATACGTTAATTAATAAAATATTTTTGGGTTTTTGATATTTAAAGAAATAGAAATAATTTGATCAATGTTAATAAAACCTATTTATCTAAATCAATTTTAATTATTGCAAAAAAGATATCAAAGTTATTCCTAACCAAAACTAAATCAATTAAATTAATATTTATTAACAAAAATAAATTACTGAAATTTAAATTAAATAAGAAAATATTTTTTTGGTTTTTAATATTTATTAAGAAAAAGTTTTAATTGGTTAGTCAGTAATAAAAATAATTAATCAAACAAATAAACAAAATAAATAAAAAAGGAAGAAATAGAAAGACTCAGGGGGGTTTTGGGCCCAATTTGGAGGTGAGAATGGCAAATTCCAGGCCCATTAGGCGCTGGCCTGGCTGACTTTTCCTGATTCCACGTGTGCACTTTGACTAGGGCATATGGTGGACATCACATCTGGACCACTAGATCTGGCCTGGGGCCATCTGGCACTTTGAGATTTTAGGACACATGATAGGCTTCCAGCACTTGGTTTGTACCTGATTGCATGATAAAATAAGGGAAAATGTAAAGCGCTGGAGGCAGGGATTGAACCCCTGACCTCCAGCCAACAACACCTTGAGAGCGCTCCCCTTGACCACTGGACCATTATGCTTCATTTGTCAATAGATTAATCAAAAATAATAATATGGGAAAACAAACAAAATGCCAGAAAATATAAAAAAACCACGCGCCAAGTTTGAACCAGCCAATAGGAGGGGGACACGTCTTCGTCTTCTTCGTTCAACCCTGTAAACTTACCTGCGGATTTATATTCGCAGCTAAATTCGTATGTGCATCCTAAAATCTATTCTAGGCCATGAAAATTCTTCCCAAGACCATGGTCATGCTCGTCTCTCTCCCCTGGTTACATCCATGTCCATCAATGGCTCCAATTTTGCCTGTAGAAGAAATACCCAAAAACACAACTACAAAACCCTAGGTTCGGTTACAGGGCTATAGCTCATATAAATGCAATCAAACAATGCCAAAAGTTCAGAAATTGAATGAGCATCATGAATATACCAAAGATTTGCCAAGAAAATGCAAGAACGTGGAATTACGGTTTGGAATGCAGAGCGGTAAAACGTGAGGCTTACAGTGCGTGTGAGAGCGTGTGAGAGCTTTCTTTTGATTGCAGGAGGTTCAGTGATTGTCCAGCAATGGAGTGGTGTTGAGATTTTCCCTTGAAAACGCCTCCAAAGATGATTTCAGTTTCACACTTTTTCACCTTTTTTCAAGTTTTGCTTTTGATGATTCTGCAGCCTCTAGCCCTTGAATTCGTGTGCCTTGGATTGTATATGTATGCTGCAATGTATTAGGTCAACAATTAGGTCTTGAATCCTTGTACATTATGGCTATGGGATTGGATTTGATCCTCCATTGATAACTTTCCAATTTTGCCAAAAATCCAATATTTTTGCACATGGAATACTTGATACGAATTTGTTACACTTGATGATCATGATTCAATCCTGAAATAGCCAAAAAGAGATCAAATAATCAACGTTTGGATTTTATTTTATTTAAATTGATTTAAAATGAAATAATTCATTAAAAAATAAAATTAAATAATAAAATTGACAAATGGTCACAAGGCTGAAGCTAGGACACGTGTGTAGTGTGACAAGATCAAATCAAGTGGAAAAGAATGGGCCCATTTGACAAAATTTGAAGTTTTGGGGATAGTTGACTTTTGGCAATTTTGCAAAAATGACCAACTTCAACAATGCATAACTTCTTCAATTTTGAACTTTTAGAAGTGTTCTTTGACTTTTTAGAAAGCTTGAGATGTCCTCTAACCAACCCTTTTGATCTCATCTAATTTTGATATTCCATGCTAAAGTTATAAGCTTTGGAAAAAAAGGTGTTTCTGTTGACTTTCAAAAATGACCTATAATGTCCAAATTTGTAACTTTTTGTGAGTGCATTTCTTGATCTTGGGGTATGAATATGGATTGTAGGAAATTGCATCCTCTTTAAAATGAGCTTTGGATGGGTCATTTCTCATAAAATATGAGAAAGTTATGCTTGGTCAAAGTTGAGTTGACTTTTCCTACAAAACCCTAATTTAGCAACTTTGAGTCTTGATGAATTTTGAGCAATACTTGATGAATCATGATCAACCCTTGATAAAATGATGAAATGTCCTTCAAAATGAGAATGTTGATAAAAAATTTTGAAGTTTGACTGTATTTGGGTCACAGTTAACTTTTGCCCTAGCACAATCGATTTTTGGACCCTTTGAGCAATTGACTGAGCAAACTTCCTCTGCAAGGCTTGAAATTTGACATGGATGACCTTGAGGATATATTAGGACATTAGGGAGCACTTGAGGTCATTTGGATGCAAGGACCTTGATGTAACACAAAACCCTAATTTGGGGTTAACTGCCTTAGGAGATAGCTTGATTGTCCAACTCTTGAGCAATCTTGAGCCACTTGGAGATTTTTCTTGTCATATTTTGAGAAATATGAGAGGGAAAATTTTGGAAAATATTATATTATTATTATACATTGAGAAATATGAGAGGAAAAACTTAATTAATATTATTTTATTTATTTATTTTTCTTCACACCATTTAAAATACATTAGGAAGTTTGTTTGCCGATGAACAAGATATAGTGATTAAGTCACTGACTTTCTATACTAGTAGAGGAAAATATGTTATCATGGGAGAAGTAGCATGTATTTGGATGCTATCGGAGTCCATATGCAGTACTGGTTGGGTAGTCAAAAAACATCAAGATCATCATCCCTCTTCAAGCTATTTTGATTTGTGAAGAATAATAAGGTGTGAGCACTGTGATCACATTGTTACTTGTATACTATCTAAATAATGATTTGTCCTTATTCTATCCTAACTTCCTAATTATACATTCAAACACAATATCAATTGCCAGAGTAACTTGTGACAATTTTCCAATCCAATAATCTATTCATCAAAAGGATATTATGTAAATAAATAAATCGGAGTATCAGGGATATTTAAATTAGAATACAAAAATAACAGAGAAAAACCACACCTAATTTGACATAATTCAGAGAACATTTAGACCACTCATAAAAATTACAATTCAATTTTTTGATTCCTATTTGAATTTACCACCAAAAAACATCTTGATTTTAAATATCGTTTCTTCCACATCACCAACTTCATTGTTAAATATGATGCTATTTTTATACACCAAATTATAGCTAATCAGATAGAAATCTCCCTCTCCCGAGCCACCTTTCCCTTTAACATAGTATAAAACTGATGCAAGGCCCAAACGAAAAGCCACTAAGCCTTTATAGATGAAAGATAATATTATGTATTAGCATTATTATTTAAGTTTTATTTATTAATTTCCTCCGAGTGACTTAAGTCCATTTAGTGGTGGTCTTTGTCTTAAGCCCATTATCCTAAACTGTAACTCTAAGTATTTATACTGCTGCTACAGCAGTAATGTGATTATGAAAACACAATTGTATTTATTTTCTTAGTTTAATGTTTTTACATGGTGAACCTTTAATTTGGTAGTATTTGCAAAATTAATACTTATAATTGGTGCTTTCATTTCCTTCTCCAATGCCTCCCAAGAAAGACACAACCAACCTTAACCCCAAAGACCTCGATGAGTCCATTCAACACACCAACCTCCGGATTGATGAGCTCATCCTTGCAAATCGCAACGTTGAATCTACCATCGATTTCAACAACGAGAATATGCACCAACAGCTAAAGGAGCTAGACAACAGTTTCAATGACCGCATGAAGGTTGGATTTTTGGAACTCGGCAGCCTTATGACACAGCAACTAAATCAGCAGTTTGCAGCCCTTTCAACTGTTGCATCACCTTCCAGATCTGCAACACCAAGTATTGACAGCTCTCTTTTACAGCCAACTAGTTCAGAGAATGTTGTTATCAACACCTCTTTTCCCTTGCTACATGTTCCTTTACCACTTAGCCAACCTCAAAACCTAACTACTACTCCAAACATGACTAACTCCACTCCCATTCCAACCCACTTTCTCAACGATACAACTTTCAACTCCAACCAACCCTCCACCTTACTCCATTCCTCAACCGCAACCCACTATCAGACCTTCACCTTCAACCTTCTCAAATTTCCAACCAACACCCTACCTACAGCACTTTCCCCAACAAAACCAGCCTTATCCCCCATTTTTGAACCAACCAACTTACCATCACCATACTCCACGAAACCCAAAAATTGAATTAGGAGGATTTGATGGGACCGATGCTCTCGAATGGCTATTTCAATCTGAGCAGTTTTTTGGGTTTTATAACATTCCCTTAGAAAATAGGCTTCTTATTGGCTGCATTTTATATGAAAGGAGAAGCCCTAAGTTGGTACAAGTGGATGTTTAAGAATCAACAACTAACAGATTGGCACTCTTTTGCAAGAGCACTTGAGTTACGTTTCGGACCTTCAACATACGAAAATCATCAAGCCCAACTTTTCAAACTAAAACAACATGGTTATGTGGCAGATTATCAATCTAATTTTGAACGTTTGGCTAACCGAGTACTGGGTCTTCCCCCAAAGGCAATGTTAAATTGTTTTATTTCAGGTTTAATTCCAGAAATTCGTATTGAACTTGCAATTCACCAGCCCTATTTTGTATCAGAAGCAGTGGGCATTGCCAAATTAATTGAGTGCAAGATAAAGGATTTTAAACCAAAGTTTCACAAACCCAATACCTAGCCCAATACTTACAACACAAAGCCAGCAACATCTTTTTCCCAAACCCCCCTCACTACCACAAACCCCTCCCAATTCCAACCCAAACCCTATTTCCACCCATTTTCCCATTCAAAGAATTACGGCTGCACAACATGAAGAACGCGGAGAAAAAGGGCTATGTTTTTAATTGTGACGAAAAATTCATTTTGGGACATCGCTGTGCTGCTGGAAAATTTCTATTATTAATGGTTGATGATGATTCTCTAATTGAAACAGAAGAGACTATTGATTTTGAGGACACAGGTGATGCTGATCCAAATTATGAAGAAACATATTTTCAATTATCCCCCCAGGCTGTTAGTGGTCAGTTTTCACCCAAAACACTAAAGTTCAACGGTATCTTGAATGGGCTGCAAGTGACATTTTTTATTGATACAGGTAGCACACATAATATCTTGCAGCCTCGAATTGCCCAACACTTAAAAATACCTACCAAACCCATTCCTAATTTTTCCTGTCATGGTTGGCAATGGTTCCCAAATGAATTGTACAGGGTTATGCCCTCAGGTCCCTATCACCTTACAAAATCACTTATTTTCATCCCTTTTTACTTGCTTCCTATTGAAGGTGCTAACGTTGTTTTAGGCATGGAATAGTTGCGTACCTTAGGCCCAATTCTCGCCGATTTCTCAATACCAAAGTTGTCTTTCACTCGTAATCACAAGGAAATTACTATAATCGGTGAACCCAAAATTTCTCCAACACAATCCACTTTTCACCAATTTTGTCACTTACTCCACACAGATTCCATTGCATCCATCCACTTTTTACTATACCAACCCCTAACTGCCAACCCTACGATATCCAATCTCCCAACCGCCCACACTCTAGAATCAATTTCCCCATCTCCCCCACCAGAGATCCAATCCGTCTTACATTCCCATTCTGTAATTTTCCAACCACCTAAAGGCCTACCCCTAACCAGACCCCATGACCATCACATTCCCCTTGAACCAAACAGCACTCCAGTTAATGTCAAACCTTACCGCTATCCCCACTCTCAAAAGGAAGCCATGACTACAATTATAAATGATATGTTGACATAAGGTATTATTAAACCTAGCAATAACCCTTATTCTTCACTAGTTTTGCTAGTGCGAAAAAAAGATGGTAATTGGAGATTTTATGTTAACTACCGTGCCCTAAATGCCCGTACAATCTGAGGCTGTTTCCCTATTCCCACCATTGATGAGCTCTTTGATCAGTTAGGTTCTGGATCTTTGTTTACAAAGATTGACCTAAGGCCAGGCTACCACCAAATTAGAGTGACACCAGAGGACACGCATAAGACCGCCTTCAGGACCTTAGATGGGCCCTACGAGTTTTTAGTTATGCCATTTGGTTTAACTAATGCTCCTAGTTCTTTTCAAGCAGCGATGAATGATCTTCTGCACCCTTATTTACGACGATTTGTTTTAGTTTTCTTTGATGATATACTCATTCACAGTTCTTGCTTATCTGATCATGTTTGTCATTTGGAATTGATTTTAGGCTTACTTTCTTCTAATCACTTTTATGCAAAGTTGTCAAAGTGCGTATTTACTGTTTCAAGTGTTGATTATTTAGGTCATGTCACTCAGGACTCTCACTCAGGACTCTCCGGGGTTTCTTAGGCCTCACTGGTTTTTACTGGTGTTTTGTTCGTCATTACGCCACTCACACCGCTCCACTCACCGACTTGTTACGTTTCACTAAATTTACATGGGGTACAGAGGCAGATACAGCCTTTACAATGTTGAAAAAGAAAATGATAGAAACTCCTATGCTCACCCTTCCTGACTTCAACAAAACTCTCACTCTCGAGATAGATGCTTCTGCGGTAGCCATTGGTGTTGTCCTTTCGCAAGAGGGCCATCCTTTAGCATTTTTCAGTAAGAAAATGTGCAATCGGATGCAAGTCACGTCTGTGTACGTCCGCGAAATGTATGTTATCACCAAATCTATAAAGAAGTGGCGTCAGTATTTGATAGGTAGGCATTTCAATATATTTACAGACCAAAAGAGTTTAAAGAATTTGCTCTTCCAGATAATACAAAAACCAGAGCAACAGAAGTGGGCCTCAAAATTACAAGGGTTTAGTTTCGGAATTTTTTCACCACATGCCACACCCCTGAAACAAAAATCTCAAAATGCCACGCCCTGAAAAATATTTCTCAAAATGCCACACCCAGGAGGGGTTCACGCCATTTGAGATGGCGCGAAGGTGAGCAGGAAGGGCTCACGCCATTTTAAATGGCGTGAAGGGGTTTTATATTTATTTTTTTTCGTTATTCTGAATTTTTAATTATTTATTTTAATAACTTTTATTATTTAATATTTATATTAATTAACAAATATTTTTTATTAAATAAACTTTATTATATAATGTTTATATTAATTACAAATACTTTTTATTAAATAAAATGTATTATTTAATGTTTATATTAATTACAAATACTTTTTATTAAATAAATTTTATTATTTTTATGTTTATACCTTTAACAATTAAATATGAAAATAAATTAATACTTCAAATAAATATTTAACAATTACAAAATGATAATAAATTTTTTTTATTAAATAAATAAAATATGCCAAGTACAATCAAAATGCAAAATAAAATAAAACTAGTTAGAAGGGTCTGCATTGTTGAGGCGATGCGGACATTTTTTCCGCATATGAGGTTGTTGACAGATACCGCATCGTCTTTTTATTTTTTCAACAGTGTCCATTTCAGTTCTAATGCGAGTACTGTTTGGGCGACCTTTTTTGTTTCGTCGCATCCTTTCATCATGCATAAGAGTATCGCCCAAATATGGAGGCCAACTATCTTCTTGGGGAACACCGAGGAAACTTTATATGTAAACTTTGAAGACGTTTATAACTCTATACAAGTCAGGAATAAACGTAGTATAGTCGTGGTTAATGTGAGAACACGCTGCGATAGCATGTGAGCAAGGCAGATGAAAAGTTTGAAATCTCTCACAGTCACAAGTTCGTGTTTGGAGGTTGACGTTGAAATAGGTAAGTGGTCGACAATTCCTATTATTAATCGTCTCTTGAACCACGAAATAATGACTTTCACGGTCAAAAGCCAAGACATTATAACTGTGGGATTTTTCTACTTCTTCTACAATTCCTTTCATGCAGTTATCTGTGAACCCCTTTCCCGATGACAAATTTTTGGTCCAATCCTTTCCTCGCTTACCCCACAATGTTCCCATCCTGTAGTATGTTGATCTTACAAGTGATGTAATAGGTAGGTTTCGGGTTTCCTTCAAAACTGAGTTCAAAGATTAAGCTAGGTTGGTTGTCATGTGACCCCATCGTGCTCCTCCGTCGTAAGCTCGCGACCATTTTTCTCTTGGAAGGTTCTCTATCCAATTAAAAGCCTCTGTGTTTGTTTGGCGGATCTCCTCCCGATAATATGCGTATGTAGACTCATTAATTGCATACCCTTCATAAAAGCATTAAAACATTAATATAAAAGAACTATATATTGAAATGTCGTGTTAAAAATTAGAGAGTAATTATCCATGTTAACAACTGTCTTGCGAAGGTTTTTGTCCTTGATGGCTCGCATGAAGTTTTGTGCGATGTGCCTAATGCAATACACATGCACCGAGGGTGGGTTCTGCCAGCCATTATCCGGGTTATTGTAGGCACTCCTAATGGACTCGTGTCGGTCAGATATCAAACATAAGTTTGATTGGGGTGTGACGTGGAGTCTCAAATTTTTCAGAAAGAAACTCCAAGCTCCCCCGGTCTCACCTTCGACCAATGCATATGCGATTGGGAAAATGTTACCATTCCCATCTTGTGCAACAGCCAGGAGCAATGTTCCCCTATATTTTCCATACAGCCATGTACCATCTACCTGCACTATAGGTTTACAATGTGCAAAACCCCTAATACAAGGTTGAAATGCCCAAAAAAGGCGATGGAAAATTCTTGCACCACCAATTTGTGTTCCTTCATTTGAATATACAGGAAGTGTTTCAAGATCTATGATGGTACCTGGGAGAAATTGTTGCATGACTAGCAACCACTGCGGAAGATTGTTGTAAGAGGCCTCCCAATTACCATAAATATCTTCGATTGCTTTGTTCTTTGCAATCCATGCCTTTTTGTAAGACACGGTGTAGCCATAAGTCGTACGAATATGAGCAACAATATGTCTAACCTTGATTGTCGCGTCGCTGTCAACAAGAGGTCTGATGTTATGGGCGATCATCTTTGAGGTAAGCTTTTTGTGATCTTGAGATATAGCAGTCGACATGCAAGTGTGTGGCCCTCCAATTCTGCCAATAACCCATTTACCACACCCCTCCCTTAACGAAGCCCTACATGTGAAGTTGCATTCCTTCTTTTTACATTTAATTAAATATCGTGTCGGATCAGACTTACAAACCTTAAATGTATGAGAATTTTTTATGTGATACTCAGATATTGCAAGGAGACATGCTTCTTTGTTTTCAAAAGTCATATCAA